AGTGCCAGCTACATCACCACTGCTTTTATGCTTGCTTCTGGACATTCTGGGCTTGAAATAAAGGTACTGTGCTGCATACAGTACTGTACAGTAAAGTACACAAAAGCACAACCATTTGTAGAAGAAGCATGCGTGTGACAATGTATGCCAGACATATGAAGTAACTTATTTGATTGGACATGCAAACATCTTTGAAAGTTTGCAACTTGAAGGTTAATATTTAAGGGACCTACTGTATTGACTGGGGGTGGTGGCTCACACCTGTAATCCCAGCGCTTTGCGAGGCCAAGGCAGGAGGATTACTGAAGGATAGGAGTTCAAGGCCACCTTGGGCAACATAGTAAGACTTTGTCTCCACACACACAAAAAATTTTTTAAATCTTGTGCTAATCTTCAATATAATAAATAGGGAATCATTACTATGAATCATAAGGCTTTAGAGTAGTAATGCATGTATCTGTATGGATGTTTAAAAATGAATATTAGTAAAAGGAGAACTTTATTGGTATACAAAGAATTGAGTCATTCTTTGACTAAATGATCTGAGACCATTTTTATTAATTAATTTGAAAGGGTAAAATAAAATGGTGTTGACTACCATTAGATTTCTCTAAATAGAGAATGTGTAAAGGATATACATCAGGAAGATGAAAAATGACCTCAGAAGGGTCTAAAATGTGAACAGTGGAGAAGAAAATGTGTATTAGGTTGGAAAATCTGTTGGCCTATGAAATGATCAAAAGTGTGCATTGTACTATGAGGAAATGAAATGAAGTACCAAGTGCAGTGTAAATTACTTTGGACTCCCCAGAACCTATTCTATCACTTTTTCATTTTGTATCACATTGTGGTTTGGGAAATTGATCCCTCTTTCACAGCCAGGCATTGTTTAGTCTAATCCAGTTATAATAATCACATTCCCCTTGCTAATTTGGTTGATTCAGGAACCAGGCCTAAGCTGTAAATTCTGTGGCCATTACCTTGATGGCAGTTACTGATTCAGAGGTGGCCATATGACTGAGATGGTGTAGTCACCTTAAAGGAAAGAATTCTTACTTGTGCTTGGGGAAGACCTGGTTTGTTTCTTATTATGGTAAAACAAACCAACTTTAAAACTAACACTAGGAATAGAGCTGCTGTGAGAAATAGGGGGAAAAAATGGGGAAAATTTGGTTTTGATGATTTCATTGTGTTACTAAATCATCTAGTCTTGAAGTGTATCCTATATATACACCTCATTTGAGATTTTAGTTTGTAGCTTAAATTTGTGTCATTGATAAGATATAGTTTCTTAGCCGAAGCTCCACCTTTCCCTACAAAAACAAGTTAAGCTTCATTAATGCAAGTATAACTACAGTTTTTAACCAGGAACAGTAGAAGCTATATGTTTTATGCTACTCTGGCAAGACTAAATTAATTTGGATATCATGTTTTATTGAAGCACACTGACAGACAAGTATGCTCAGAGAAGACAGCAGAGTGAAGAGTGTAAAAATTATGAAATGTAAATGTATAATAAACATATGCTATGTCCTTTGTCCTAGTAGAAGGTATTGAAGGGATTTACTAACAGTGTTCAAATATTTCAAGGACTAAACTTGTTTTGCACGATTCCAGTGAGTAGAGTTAGTTAGTCCCAGTCAGAAATTAGGGAGAGGTATAAGAAAGATGTGATTGGTATAAGAAAATATTTTCTAATAATTAGAACTATCTGGAAATGTGAATGAAGGGTACGATAGTGGAGAGCTTTCAGTGTAGACCTTGAGAACTAAAATTATTCCCTCCAAAAGTTTCCTAATAGAGGGCTTTTATATCTGTACAAATATTAAAGAAAATTTGTCTGCATGGGGTGGGAAGGTGGATTATATTACTTACAAACCTCCTTGAATTTAAAAATTCTAATTACTAATCTATTTACTATAATATTGACTCACAGCTCTCTCAGCTTCAACATTTCCTTATTATTTCATGTTCTTGGTAATGCCTCACTACGTACAAATAAAACTCATAATGAGCATAATTACCCACACGTATAATGTTCAAGAAATAATTGTGAGTGTAATACAGAATAGAAATGAAAGTAATTTAAGAGTCAGTAATCATGTATTGCATTTCTGAAACCCAAGAAACTAAAAACCAAACATTTTCTAAGTTAGACACAGACTTATTTGGGAACAAAACCTGATCTTAACTGAAATGACTATAATTAGTTTCTGTACAAGTGGGTGAATTTTTATATTCTGCAAAAATATCAATATGTTTGATCACAGGCTGCTGTTCCAGACCCTATTGGCAGTATTACTTAATAATCTTTGAAATGTATAAGAATTCTAAATTCTTAAAATACTTGGTCACAAGAGTTTTTATTAAAATATTGTGGTTAATTAACAAATATTTCAACATGTAGATGTTCTAGGATGACTAATTTAGAATACCGAATAAAGTAATCAAAAGGTTACACTTCTTATTAATATGTTTGGATTTAAGAGAAATAAGATAAGTCATTCTGTTTAAAAATTATAGGAAGGTGAAATAGCAGATCATGCTATACCTTAAGTAGCAAGTAATACCAGACCCTATTTATTTGAATATAAGAGAAAAGGGGAAATACCTTATTTCATAAATGGAATAACATGTCTAAATAAGTTATCATTGTTGAAGTGATTTTGTTTATTTTGCACTACCACCATACTGCCCTGAAACCTTCTTATAACTAAATTTATAGTTGAATATTACGTGATACATTTAAGCAGACAGAAAACACAAAGGATGTTTTCTGTAATATGGAGATAACTTCCTGTAAAATATTTTTGGTATAGTAATATACTAACATATGAGGGTAGACCAACAAACCCAGAAATTATTGTTTAGAGGGCAGGCCCCTCGTAGTACAGGCTTTCCCCACTAGGTTAGTGTTCTAGGAACCCATTGGCATCAGTGTACTAGCTAGCAATGTTGTGAGAGGCTGCATTTGGCTTCAGTAAATTTTTTTGGAGATCCTTTCAACACATTTGCTCATTTCGTGATGGGTGATTACAAGTGCACTTGCCCACATCATGTTGAGTGTTCAGCAGTTTTTTGACAAAAAATGGCACGACCCCTGTGCCTCACCCTCTCTATTCACCCATTCTTGCCCCGAGTGACTTTTTTTTGTTTCCCTGGATGAAAAATGTCCTCAAAGGGAAACATTTTGCCATTGTGGAAGAGGTAAAACAAAAAATGACCGAAGCACTAAAAGGCATCAAATGTGTCAAGCTCAAACACTACTTCGAGCAGTGGAAAAAGCATCTTGCTAGGTATAGTGCATCAAATGGAAAGTACCTTGAAGATGACAGAAGTTTAAACATGTAAGAATAAATACACAATTTTCTAATAAATAAATTTTGGTTTTGGGTCCCCCTCATATTTATAGTGGGTTTAATCCGTAGAACATTCAAAAGATGTGTGAGATATAGGATGCAATTCTTCACTGGTATTCTGCAGAAGGTATATTAAGAATAAAAATATATTCCTTTTTTTTCTTTCATCTTCTGTGCAGAAAGAGGCGCTCATTTCTGTTTTGATCTTTTACCTTTCTTCATAGCAGTTTTTACTCTCATACAATCTTTAGTGATTTCTGTCAGCCTCTGTTGTCATATCAACAATCAAATGTCATTTTGTAAGTAATACAACATGACTTTATACCAAAGTATCTAAAATTTAGGGGCAATAATAATATATACTAGAGTTTTTTAAGAGGAAAACTACAAGGAGAAGTTAATTTGTGTTTTAAGCAGTCAGATTTTATGACTGATAATACTCAGAAAGAACTTTTTTTGTTTTTTTTTTTTGAGTTAGAGTCTCACTCTGTCGCCCGACTGGAGTGCAGTGGCCGCTCCCGGCTACTGCAGCCTCAACCTGCTGGGCTCCAGCAATCCTTCCGCCTCAGCCTTCCAAGGAGCTGGAACTACAGGCACGCGCTACCACACCCGGCTATTTTTTGATTTATTGTAGAGATGAGGTCTCGCTGCCCAGGCGGGTCTCGAACCCGCAGGCTCAGGCAATCCACTCACCTCAGCCTCCCAAAGGTGCGGGATTACAGGCTAAGCCACCGAGCCTGGCTAGAAAGAACTTTTAACATTTAATATCCTTGAGTGTAAATGTCTTTGATAGTATTTAGAATGTTAATAAAAGTGAAAATTCCATTGTGAAGGATGACAATTATATAATACTGATTATTTTCTCACCACTTAGTAAAGTATGGCTTGGAGTTCCTATGTAATAGGATGTTTAATTGGATTTTATAAGTCCAATTACTGTTGTCCTGTTTTATGTATAGGTTGTTATTATGCCTAAAATAAAATCTAAAACCTGTTTTTTTTTAATTAGTCCTATAGTGTAAAGGACTAATTTATTATTTTAGGTGCCATTTGATTTCATCAAAATAGGTAAAAGCTCTTTTTTTTTGAATAAATTTCACTTGTGTATGAAAATCTCTTTTTTTTAAAGTCTTTATACAATTATTAAATGAGTTTGGATTTATCTTTAGGTATGTGGGAAAATAGCTGTTACTTAAATATATGACAAGTCTTAGATCAGTTAGTTTTAGAAGTCTACAGTGACTGGTTTAGCCCTTTTTTAGTCACTTAAAAATATCACTTACAAATCCTTCAATTATATTTTATTAATATTAAACTGTCTTTTTTCCCAGTGATTTTCACAGAGAAACTTAGTAGGTAGTAGCCTTTTAAAGTATTGGATTTACATGGTATGTTTTAATGTGTTAGCTACTCTTTACATATAACAAGTTTCTGTTGTTTGGTAAAATAAATATAGTGTAATTTTTTTATCGTGGTGCTAAACTTGAACTTGATACTTCCTCTACTTGGTGGGAAAGTATTGACAAAACTGATCATTTTATGAAGCAAACATGAATGAAATCAAACTGTTCTGTATTACAATAACTACCTCATATAGGTTTTAAAAATATAGTAATCTGAATGTATGTGTGCACTTTTTAGAAAGAATCTTCAAGAGGGAGACATAGGGAAAAGGAAGACATAAAAATCACTAAGGAGCGAACTCCAGAAAGTGAAGAAGAAAATGTAGAATGGGAAACTAATAGAGATGGTGAGTTTCAAAATCTTTGTTTATATAGTCAATTCTTGATTATTAACTCTGTAGAGTTTTTGTGAACTTCAAAACACCTTTCAACTGTGGTTTTCCTGTTTCGGAATATCTTACCTCTCTCTCTCTTACTGAATTAAAAGACAGAAACTTGCATATATAGAAGTACAGTCTGAAAAAGTGGCTGGCATTGCATATTTCAACCATATCATTTTTTTTCTCTCTTTAGAACTTTATTGTGCAGCATCACATCCCTTTGGGATTTTATTATTCCTTTAGGGAAGGAATAATAAACCAAATGTTTCCTCTGCTCTCACACTACAGCAGTCACCAAGCAGACATCAGCTGGGGGTCCTCCAATTCAATTCCAACACTATCTACCTGGAGATGTCAGATCCTACAGGGTGAGGGTTCAGTCCCCACGACTGCCCCTAACCCCAGACACCAGTCGCAAGATTGGTGACTTCAAGTTGGGATTTCCATGACTACCTCTTTGGGTTCAATTAATTTGCAAGAGCAGTTCACAGTACTCAGGGAAACCCTTACATTTACCTTTTTATTATCCTTTAGGATACAGATGAAGAGATGTATAGGGCAAGAAGTGAGAGAAGGGACGTAGAACTTCCATACCCTCCCTGGAGTGCCTAGGTTTCTCTAGGAACTTCAACATGTTTAGCTATCCAGTTCTCTTGGCTTTTTAATGGCAGTGTCAGGATGTCAGCATTCTTTCCCCTAGGGTACAGGGTGGGACTTTCTCTGAGGAGGGTATCTATCTATCTATCTATCTATCTGTCTGTCTGCCTATCTACAGACAGCATTTATTATTTTATTGGGCCTCGAAAGCTTTAAATACAAAATAGACTGGCCAGGGAGTCTTAAGACCCACAGTTAGAAGGAGGAGAAAGATCAACATCCTGCCTTTGGGCAGGTGAGAGCAGGACAGGAGAAGTTCTCAGATTCTGTTTCTGGTGCCAGCCCTGAGGCCTAACACACGTACCATTGTAATAAAATACTATAATGAAGACTGTGGGAGTTATGAGTGGAATTGTGGGTGAAAGCCATTCTCTAGCATAACACAATTACATTTGTAAATTTTTAAATTCTTCCATACTAAGGATAAAAAATTAAATCTAAATTTGTTTGTTTTACATAAAATATAAAAAGTGATATTTTTAAATCTTAAGTACTTGGTAATGTTATTTCCAAGAAGTTATTGACTTTCTTCTTTCAGAATAAATTAAAATCAGATGATAATGAGATCTGGGATTTATTCATGAAAAATTAGCAAAATCATCTTTGAGTCCTTGTCTTAACATTTTTAACATCATGAATGTTTTCTCCATTCCTTTAATGTTCTGGAAGATGAGCATTGTAACCTCACATTACCAAATATAGAGAAAGCAAACTCGCATTTGTTAAGTGTATTGGGTGTGCTGGACTTATATATAACAAAACTAAAGAGTTTAAGAACTTAAGCAACTTTCTCAACAATAAGTGATAAACTTTGGCTAGGGGTTAGAAGACTACAGTTGGGAGCCATCGGTTCTTGCAAATAAAGTTTCAGTGGAACACTGCCATGCCTATTTGTTTACATATTGACTGCGACTGCTTTTGAGCTATAGTGACTGAGTTGAATCCTTGTGACAGAAAACCAAGAACCGGCAAGCCTAAAACGTTTACTACTGTTTTTCAGAATTATCTCTGAAGACTTAAGATAACACTTGCAAAGTACTCTAAATATTGCTGCAGTGATTGGAACATCAGTACTTACTAAGGAAATCTGTTCCATCTTTGGACAGTGCTATCTGTTGAAAAGTTGCTCCTAAGAATGAACAAGAAACTTTAGTTGGGATTTCATGATCCAGCCTAGTACATCTATAAAATAGCTAATAAAGACAGCTGTAATGTTTCATTGTAGTTGACTAGTTAGTAAATAAAATATAAACCATAACTCTTCAAGTTTGGATAGCTCACTTTTTCTAAATACTAAAGAATTAACTCTTAACACACCCAGCATTCTTTCGTTTCATTTCAGTTTTGGATTAAAAATAAAATAAAATATCTTTGATACTTATCTTTAAAAATAAAAATTTCTCTATGATAATTGTTGAAAATTTAGAAGGTTCAGAAAAGCCTAAGTCAGTTCTCTCCTTGTCTTCACAGTAGATATGTCAAACCTCCATAAATCTCTTACACTTTCATTTCTCTTTGCTATCTACTTCACAGAGATGATGGAACTCTTCATCCAGAAACTTCCTACCACACCTACAAACTAATCTTTTATTCATGCCTAAACTTTTTTACTTTCCTTTTACTCTGTATAAAGGGTCTCCCTCCTGCTGTATAAGGTTAATATATTCTCTTGTATTCTAGCTCTGGTATCTTCCTACCTCAGCAATCTTATTCATTTATTATACATTCTCTTATGTATTTTCAGCATCCAATTTCTCTTCTCCCCAAGTTATTGTTAACTGCTATCATACTTATCCTACTTAACAACTAAATTCTTAAAAGAGTTCTGTACCTTACTGTCTCTGCTCATTCACCTGATGCGTATTATTCAGTCTTCTGACCCAGCTCTCCACTGAAACTGCTCTTCAAGGTCACTAATGACCTCCTCTTTGCTGAATGAATGAAGATGTACTTGTCTGTATCTTAAATGACTGTTGTGCAGTATTTGACACATTGAGAGCTCCGTCTTCTTTTTTTTGGGGGGGGGGGGTTGGAGTCCTCTCGGTCGCCCAGACTGGAGTGCAGTGGCCACTCCCGGCCACCGCAGCCTCGACCTGCTGGGCTCCGGCGATCCTTCCACCTCAGCCTTCCACATAGCTGAAACTACAGGCATGCGCTACCACACCCAGCTGATTTTTGATTTATTGTAGAGATGAGGTCTCCCCTGCCCAGGCGGGTCTCGAACCCGCGGACTCAGGCAATCCACTCACCTCAGCCTCCCAAAGGCGCGGGATTACAGGCTGAGCCACCGAGCCCGGCTTACTCTTCAGTTTTTATCGTTTTGTTCAAGCCCTTCAGTATTACATAGAGGCTCCTTGTCTGCCCTGAAGTGTTGATTTTCAAGGCTTTGTACTTCACTGTCTTCTTTAAAAAAAATCTAAAATGGTTTTATTTCAGGAACCTGTTATATAGGAAATTATTTTAAAAGGTTAATGTGTCTTTAATAGTAGCTTTATAGACAAAACATTCACATGGTGAGTCTGTATGTTTTCTCTTGATTCACACTCATAGGTTTTGGTCATTGTGTATCTCTGTGATTTATGAATATTGAAGCATGCAGTTGGTCAGTTGCCTCAGTCCCTGGATACTGAGACTAAATTAGTTCAGTAGACTAGTTTGCCTTCTGCATTGTCAATCTAAAGTGAAGAGCAATTTTAGCTAGACTCAGAAGAAGTTAGTATATAGTAGTTTTTCTTAGATTTTCTGGTTTCAGGATACTTTCATACCCAAAGGACTCCCAAAGAGCTTTTGTCTTTGTGGATGTTATGTTTCAATAATTTCTGTCTTATAAACCTGAGAAATTTTAAAAATCTTTATTAATTCATTTAACAATGATAATAAAATCCCAATATATTCTTTTATGAAAAGTAATTATATTTTGAAAAGCAAAAATAACTGTGGAAGTGGAAATGTTTTGTGTTTTTTCAAATTGTTTTAATGCCTGGCTTAATAAACCTCAGCTAGATTTATATTTATATGGGCTTCTGCGTTCATTGTGTTAACTGTATCACATGTTCTGAAACACTCCACTATCCATGAGAGAATTAGTAAGTCAGGCAAATAATATAGTATTATAGAAATAGTTTTTATTTTGTGAAACTCCTTAAATTGTCCTAGGGGCCCCCAGAATCCTCAGACCACTCTTTGAGAACCACTTACCTATAGGAATAGCCTTTAAAACTTTTGCCTAGCCATCTTTTCTCACTTTTAATTTTTCCTTATAAATGAAATCATGCTTCTAGGACTTCATTAACATGTATGTGTTCATGATTCCAAAATCTCTCAGTTGAACTCCGGATTGAGACAGTTTACATTGACCAACTGGGCTTCTCCAACTGAGTTGTATTTCTTATGAGCATCACTTTTAAACTAGGTTCCAGCAAACCTGAGAGTCATCACTGATATTCTCTCTCCTCCACCCAGGCATTTACGGAGTTCTCACATTTCTACCTACTGAATATCTTTTAAAACCTCTGCTTCTCTTAATTTGCTACTAATATTCTAGTTCTTAAGGTATTTGTTTATTGCCTATAGATATATTTTACCAAAAAAAAAAAAAAAAAACCCTCCTAACCCCATTCCTTGCTCCTAATTTATTTATTCTCTACTCTAAAGTCAGAATATTTTAAAACAGTTTTTAAAGTATAATATGCATTCAGAAGAATGCACAATTCCTGTGTACAACTCATTGCATTTTCAGAAACTGTACATACTTGTAAAACCATCCAAGGCAATAAATAGGTTACTAGTGTCCCATAAGCCCTCTTGTGCTTCCTTCTAGTTACTCCTCTGTACCCTCACCCTCCAAAGGTAACTACTGTCTTCATTTCTTGCACCATTGAATAGTTTTGTCTGCTTATGAGGGTACTCTAAATGAATCTACAGCATGTACTCTTTGTGCCCAGCTTCTTTTGCTGATGGTGTTAATGAGATACAATTGTGTATTTTATGTAGTTATAGTTCATTCATTCTTATCGCAATATAGAGTTTTATTGTATGAATAGATCATAATTTATTCTACTGTTGATGAACATTTGAGTAATTTCCAGTGTGGGACTATTATGAGCAAGGTGCTATTACTATTCTTGAACATATCTTGTGGTAAACATGTACCCATTTCTCTTAAGTTTATGCTGTAAAGTGGAATTACTGGGCCATGGAGTATGTACACGTTCCTCTTTAGTAGTTAATGCCAAATCAAAAATGGTTGTATCTATTGCTCATATAGTATTTTTTGCCTTTTTCATCTTAGCCATTCTAGAAGTGTGTAGTGATATTTTACTGTGGTTTTAAGTTTCCATTTCCCTAATGAAGATGATAACTTCTCACATGTTTTTGACCGTTGTACAACCTATTTTGTAAACTGTTTCAAACGTTTGCCTGTTTTTTACTTGTTGATTATAGGAATTATTTATATACTCTGGATATGAGATTTTTATCAGATATATGTATTACAAGTATTTTCTCCCTCTTTGGCAGAGTAATCTTTTAAAACAATAAATTGGCTCATTTTATTCCCCCTGTTAAAAATTATCTAATTTCCCATTGCCTTCAGGGGCAAGTATACATTCTTATTATGCCTACAAAACTTTTCACTGTCTGATTGTGTTCTGTATTTCTGGTCCCTGCACCCAAATCTGTTTGTTTATTTGACGCTTTAACCTTCTTGTATTTGTTCACCATGTGTTATTAAAGATCAGTGCAGTAATGTAAAAAGCAAAAATGTCATTGCAGTAGAAGAAAATGTATGAAAATATCTTGGTAATCTTGGAGATGGTTGCATCTTTTAAAAACTCAGAAGCCACAAGAGATTTGATTACTTAAAACTTAGGAATTTCTGTGTTTCTAAATGCAGAAGTTAAATACAGGTAATTGACTAGAAGAAAATATTTGACATGTATGAGCATAAACAAATAGATACTGTCACTATATAAACATATAATGATCTTCCACAAATACATAAGAAAAAGACTGGTTAAAAATGAGCAAATATATATAGTGGATGGGTAACTCACAGTAGAAATGGAAATGGTCAGTACTCATCCTTACTGCAGGGACATAATGGTAAAAATAAAGAGAACATTTTTAACCCATCAGATTTGCAGAAATGAAAAATACTAATGTTATCAAGTGTGAGTTTATATTGGTAAAACTGTTTAGAGTGCAGCTTGGTGATATTAAAAAAAGTATACTTACCTTGATCTAACGACTGTACGTAGTGTGAGACATATGTCATAAAAAAGTATTTGTATTTGTGAGCCAAAGTAGGTATCAAAATGTTCATTGAAGCCTTGTTTAATAACAGCAAAATATTGAAAATAAGCTGTCAAAAGGAAAATGGTTAAGTAAGATATGGTTATGGTTAAGTATGATCATATTATGAAATGCTTTGCAAAAGTTAAAATGAAGATTGTTGAACTCTATGTATGATCGTGTTTATAGGGCAGTGTGTATAGTTTTGGTTCCGTTATTTTAAAGCTAAAAATGTAAAGCCTTATTTTTATGTATATGACATTGCAGTGTTACCGATGGAGTGAGGGTGGCTGTTGGAGGAATATAAGGGGAATTTCATATTTTACTGTGTATACTTCAGAATTGTTTAAGACTTTAGTAATGAAAATGTATCATAAATAAAGACAAGAGGAAGTGGTCAAATTATAGTCTTTAATCCTACATAAACTTTCATATACCTGTGATTATTTTTATACAATAAATTACTAGAAGTAAAATTGTTATATTAAAGAATCTGAGTGTTCTTAAGACTTTTGCCCATTTTGAGGAAGTATTTTACAGAATGGATGTACCAGTTTACATTGCTACCACGGGAGAATGAGTGTGTCTTTTATTTTTACCTTTGCCAATAATTAGTATTATAATTAGAAAAAAAGTGGATCCTTAGTGCATGAAAAGTACATATTTATGTGTCATTTACATTTCCTTCTTTCTTTTTGTGAATTGCCTGGCCACGTCCTTTGCTGGTTCTTCTGTTAAGTAGTAAGAATTCTTTATATATAAAGAATGTCAACCTTTTCTTAGGTGTTACATTAATTTTTCTGTTATATATTTTTAAAAACTTCTGCCATGTTAAATACACCATTCTAATTATATTTAATGTTTTTCTAGTGACTTAGAATCATTCATATAAGTCTTTTTTTTATAAGGCAATTGTAGTGATAACCACAAACTGTATGAGAGACGTTTTCTAAATTTATTAACTGGCTTCAGACTCTTGGTTTTGAATTTTTTTTTTTTTAAATTTGGAGTCTCATTCCTTCACCTAGACTGTGGCAGCACCCTCACGGCGACCCCAGCGTCGACCTACTGGGCTCCGGCGTTTCTTCCGCCTCAACCTTCCACCTCAACCTTCCGAGTAGCCGGAACTACAGACGCGCGCTACCCCGCCTGGCTATTTTTTATTTTGTTGTAGAGACGAGGTCTTGCCAAGTTGCCCAGGCTGGTCTCGAACCTGTGGCCTCAGGCAGTTCACTTGCTTTGGCCTCCCAAAGTGCTGGGATTACAGGCTGAGCCACCAAGCCCAACCGATTTTGAATTTCACACTATATTTTGTGTTTCTGTTTTTTGTTGCCAGGATGCCATCATTTGTAATGAGCCTACCTGGTAATCTGTCTCTTATAGGCTAGGCTAGGAAACCATGTAAGTTTTGATTATAATAGATATGCATAAAGCATGTACTTTCTGAGTGAAAGCTTGAGAACTTTTCCTCTGAGCAAAATATGTTAGCTGTAGTGCATTAATTTTAACATATATTTTAACTACTTAGCCCTCTCCTTGTTGGGTAGTTGGGAATTGAGGATTGAAAACCAATTTCTCATTTCTTTTTTTGAGTTGGAGTCTCACTGTAGCCCAGACTGGAGTGCAGTG